AAAATCGATTAATAATGTACAGGAGCTTCAATTAAAGTAAAGCTGCATTTATTTTTTGGTGGTAGAGCGGGTTGTCCACTGATGGCAAGGTTGGCGGTTCGATCCCCGGTTCCCCCCACATGCCGAAGTGTCCTTGGGCAAGACACTGAACCCCAAATGACTCCCAATGGCAGATTAGCGCCTTGCATGGCAGCTCTGTCGCCATTGGTGTATGAATGTGTGTGTGAATGGGTGAATGAGAAACATTGTAAAGCGCTTTGAGTGCCGCAAAGGTAGAAAAGCGCTATATAAGTGCAGTCCGTTTACCATTTACCATTTAACCAGTAGGCTACCTGGCTTGCCCCAAAAAATTAAAAGCTAATGGGTTTTTGGATTACAACAATTATTTTAAAGCGTTAAGCCAAACCTTTAAAATTATAAAACAGCTCACTTCGCCTACAGTAGTGCCTCTATTGCTGTTACACCTTCCAGAAACATGCTGTATTACACCATTGATCAGTGTTCGCTTGCGGTACATTTCAAACAAAACCCCAAAACCCTGTCAACACCGTGTTGGATTCGGTCTTACCTTTTTGCACACAATGCAGGAAGCGCGCTGCTGCAAGGCGCTGCGGCCCTTTTGTTAATGCTGAAAGGATTTACCTGTAATCTGGCCCCGTCTCGAGGAAGAAACACTGAGCCTCCGCGAGAATTCAGGGGAGGCAGCTGCAGTGGAGAGGACGGGGGAATTAGACCGGTGCCACGACAGAACATATTATAGTGCTGTAAAGATAAAACATGTTATAGTGCTGTAAAGCTATATATCAAGTCTCTTCGGGGGCCTGTGAGCTGCATACCCACCAGCAACAGCAGCAGCACTTCTATATATATATATTTGGAATAACGCACACAATGTGAGCTGTGAATATAATATTTATTTTATTATTTGTTCCATTATGGTTTTTCTTCTTTATGTGGCAATTAGATGCAAATATGCCGAGTGTGTGAAAGTGCCTCCATTGTCATAAACACACAGCGGAATAAGGAAAGCACTGGCCTCCTTCTTACTTAAATGTCCTAAATCCAGATGTAGCTTTGCATGTGTGATGCAATTTTTATTTTTTTTGGAGGTGTTCTCATGAAATTTAAATACGTAGGATCTTGGTTTAATCTGCCGAAGCACAACAGGAAACACGAGTCTCTTTCGTGTAAGAGTTAATGTAGACTGCATGATAAAATAAAAAAAACATCAAGAAACACAAATCTTTATATGTGTCTGTATACGCCGGGTCTTTGTGTGTCAGCAGCCGAGATGAGAAACTGCTGAGTGCAAATCCAATCACTCCTTCATGCCAGGAAATTGATGCATAAACCAAGCGAAAAAAAAAAACAAGTGAGTTGGTATGGGGGCGAATCCATTACTTCTTTAGCCTTTAACATGTTGTTCAATCTGCCCCTGTGGCATATTCGCATTTTCAAGATGATCGACATTTAACAGGATTGTAATGCATTGCTACATCAAATAATTCATAATTAAAACGTATTAGGAGCCACAAACACATTTAGTTTGGAGAATATGTCAGGCGCTGAGTGCGGATGCTTTATTCAAAACACTCGAACGGCATTAATGTTGACACCAATGTTTATTTTTGCACGATAATGGAGATGTTCATTTAGCAGATGTGAAGGAAGTAAATTGTAGAGAGTGAAATATGTTTTTTTTTTTCATTTTTGGAGACCAAACTTTTTTTATCTCTATGTTTTGATATCTATACACACGCAAATAAAAACCTACAGCCTCTATTATTAATCAAAATGAATCGCCCTGGCTCTTCTGCCCTCATTTTTTTCTCTGTCTGATTTATTTCTGTCGTCACCCCAGCCATCATGTTTTGCATCATCTTCTCCGCATGTCCCGATCCGTAAATCTAAAACGCGATCCACGGACATGGCATGTAAGATAGGCTGTGGGCCACTATTATCTTTTCCCTGCCATCAGTAAAGTGGATTTCCTGATACATCGGCAGCCCTCTTCGGTCATCTGAAATCCAGTTTTCCAGATTTCTCGGCCCCTATCCCTCCGTGGGGGTCTTAATGGGGAGATGGGATTGAAAGGTCTTGCTCAAAGCTGCTTTCTGTCACTCCCTCTCCCTCCCTTTTTTTATGTAAATCGATCCAGTCTTGGGTTCCAGTATTAGATTGGGGGGGTTGTTGTGTGTACTGTACTCTGCCCGAGGCGGCTGGCTGTCTAGCTAACACATTACCCCACATCCCTGCTTTACTCCCCTCCCATCCCCGCTATAGATAACTGAAATGTAGACTGCAGCCATATAGATTGTCCACATGTAGGTTAATGTTTGCAATTTGATCATGCATGGATAGACAAACACACTCTGAAAGCCAAAAAAAAGAGCAGCCAGGTGCCCTTTGTGCTTTTATATCATTCTTTAATAGAGAAAAAAAAAGAGCAACTGTGAGGCAAAATAAAATCCCGCAATGTGTATCTGCCATTCTTTGGTAGCACCTGCTTAATCCAGAGAATCACGGCTCAATATGCTCTATTAATCCCTCTGGCTCTCTGCAGCACTTCAATCTCACACCACATCTATCTTGTTTTTAAAGGGCTGACCCAAATACTCCAGTGTTCAAGAGACTCACTGCCGAAGCTCCTGGGATTCAAAAGTCATCCATTCTTTACCACTGCTCAGCCTCTCTTTCTCACGCGCACTCGTCAACCTGCACACACACACACATAACGTTTACAGTGTGTATCCTCCTTTCTCATAAAGTGAATCAATATCAAACCGCGTAAAGTCACAATCTCGGCTTTTTAAATTTTTTATTTTACTCTTCTGGTACCACTTAAAGTGCACCGACACCACTTCGCTGTGTCAAGAGGACTGAAGTGAAAATAGGCACAGAGAGGGATTAGTGGGTAGTAGTTGAATTTAAGAGGGAATGTGAATATTTTGTGGGAATGGGGACACCAGAACACAGATGTTACTCTCATTTCAGATCTCGCCGAGCGCCGTGATCACTGAGACCTGCCAAGTAATGCATGACAAATGGTGACAGCAGAGACTTTGCATAAAGGTTTTTAGGAATAATCTGCCCTGTCAGGGTTATAAATGCATAAATATGTGAAAACATCCCGGCAGAATGGGAGAGCCAGTGTAGGTGTATTGGAAATGTGCTGCTTATTCCAGACGGAAAACAACTGAACTGAAAGAAATTCCGTCTGAAAACAAATTCGTTTCTCAAAACATGACACTTTCCAGCTATAGGAATGCAATTTTTCTGCGAGCGACACATTCTGCTGCAGCCAAAATATAAATTACTTTCAGCCAACCACAATTTCAGACATCCATTTTCCAGGCTACACGCATAGCCTTCAGTGGAAGTATCAAACGGTTACAACCAACAGGCATTAAAGTGTCCTGATAGATTTGATAGTCAGACTCTGAAGTGCGACTCAAATCTTGCATAACAGTGAATTATTAACAGGCTCGCATTAGTGCTCGGTGGAGAGTAAATGCGATCCTCCATTTGGAAGAGGAATTTACAAAAAACTTTTGGACTGACAAATGATAGACAGTAATTACTTAAACCCATTAAATGATCCCTGACCTGCCAAGGCTGAACAACAACTGGAGTATTTGATGCTGTTCGGGGATTCATCGCTCTCGAAAATGAGTGAAATGTCAAAAAAAAAAAGTTTGCTCACACGATTTTCAGTGTTTTGGTAATGAATACGCACATGCAGATTGATGTTTGCAAATACATATTCAAACAAATTCAACTCCCGAAAGAGTTGTCATTCATTTGGTTAATTACCACGCTGTCTACCTTACACTCTTGGGAATCCTGTAATCTGTATGAGAGCCGACTGGCTCTGGCAGATCACCTTGGATTTGTGAGGAAATCAATACTACAGCCCGACTATGTTCGCTGCTGTGTGGGCCTTAACAGTTTGACTAATGGCCCTGGTTATAGAAGACTGCGATGGGCTCAAGTTGTCACTGACAGTGTTGCAATTTACCGGTTTCCAAATCTCTGTAGTCAATACTGTTATGGTATCTCTCACTTAATCGGTAACAACAACAAATCATGGTGCCAATCATGGTCTGAGTGGATGTAGATTCCCGCTGCACAATTATGGTGACTACAAATAGTTCGTTAGCTGCCACATCATCTGCATTCGGCTGTAGATTAGAATTTTCCGTTACTGTTTTACGGCGGTCATAATGCAATACGGCTCAATTAAGCAGACGTGATTTGCAGAGAAGTTTGCATGTTCTAGCCTCATGGCGATCGCTCTGCTCTAAAGCGTGTTCTTTCCTCTTGATAATGAAATGTATCTTCAGCTCTGTCTGGATAATGCAGCCATCTGCTGGCAACTCCTAATGGAGTTATGGAGCCTCTCAAGACCTCTTAAATAATTTAGAAGTGGAGCGTATTCTCAAGACCTCATATTTACGCACGAGGCTTAATTCTGAATGCGAGATTGGATTTGTCGATTCCAGAGTCACTTTTCGTGAGACTGAGTATTCTCTCTGCTCCGAGCGTTCAGAACAGTAAACACCAAAAATTTAGTTTCATAACCGGCTGTAATCTTGGATTACTTTCGCTAATTCAACATAATGATTGTTGGCTGTGCGGTTATCTTTGTGTCTTTTTGGCTTTGAGGCGACGGCAGAATGTTGTGAGAGGCTGTGTTGGGACTCCTCACAGATCCATCCATGTGTGCACATCCCCCTGATGATATGATTATTAATTGTTAAGAAAAGGGAGAAGAAAAAAAAAACTCAATCTTGTTACCGAGTGCAAGATGTCTCTGTTTAGACACAATAATTGTAGCATGTTCTTAGATTTTTATACTGTTTAGACATAAGAGAATGGAGGCGCAGTGTGAAGCTGTTGAATATTTCCGAGCTCAATGAAATCTCTGTTGTTGTCACCTGAGACCGTTGACTAATTTATTTGTGCATCAGCGCTAACTGATCGTTTCTCTTTCTCTTCAGGGTGGAGGTCACAGGATTCCAGCTCACTACAGCTTCGAGGATCTGAGGATTAACCGCACCCTTGGAATAGAGAGAGACAATGCTTATGTTCACCATGATGGCACCTGCATGCTTGGCCAGACCAGGGGCTCGGCTCTTCGTGCTGTTTATTTGCTTGCCGCTACATGCTGGCATGCTTCAGTTTGCTGCAGCTACGATACAAGGGTACATCGGAGGCGCGGACATGACCTGCCCATCTGTATGCAGGTGCGACGAGGACTTTATCTACTGTAATGACCGTGGTTTGAGCTCCATCCCGTCACTGCCTCCTTCTGCGTCCGTCCTCTACCTTCAGAACAACCACATAAACAACCCGGGCTTGCCCACCTCCTTGGAGCGCCATCTCGCCGTCCGTGTGGTCTACCTCTATGATAACGAGCTGGACGAATTTCCCATGCACCTGCCACCGTCCGTGCGTGAACTGCATTTGCAGGACAACAACATCCGCACCATTCCTCGTAGTGCACTCGCTCGGATGCCGTTGCTGGAGAAGCTGCACTTGGATGACAACTCTATTTCCACTGTTTCAATTGAGGATCAGGCATTTGCCGACAACCCGCGGTTACGCTTGCTTTTTCTGTCACGCAACCACCTGTCTAGTATCCCCTCAGGACTACCTGCCTCTCTGGAAGAACTTCGCCTAGATGACAACCGAATTTCCACCATTCCAACTCATGCCTTCCGGGGCCTCGCTTCACTTCGATGTCTTGTGCTGGATGGAAACCTTTTGGCAAACCAGAGAATTGCAGATGACACATTCTCTCGCCTTGCCAACTTGACCGAGTTGTCCCTCGTTCGTAACTCCCTTCAGACTCCACCTGTTAACCTTCCCAGTGCCCATCTGCAGCGACTGTCTCTACAGGACAATGCCCTGACTCATATGCCACGTGGTTCCCTGGATGGCATGCACAGGCTGCAGAGGCTAGACCTGTCAGGAAACAACCTCACTACGCTGCCAAGGGGACTTTTCAAAGACCTGGACAACTTGGGCCAGCTGCTGGTGCGAGGAAATCCTTGGCACTGTGGCTGCAACCTTCGCTGGCTGTATGACTGGCTACATGCCCGTGGTAACTCGATCACTGTCAGAGGTCTCACCTGCCACGGACCTGACAGAGTGCGAGACATGGCTCTGGTAGACCTGACCAGTGAGATGGAGGAATGTGAGGTGGTGAGGACAGCAGGGACCAGAGACAGAGTAGGCGTAGGAGTCGAAAGCTCTACCACCAACACCCCTCCACAGGGTTCTCTCTTCACCCTCCGCTCGAAGCGACCTGGCCTGGGGCTTCCTGACTCTGGCTTAGACTACACTCTTAGCAGCAGTGGTGTGGGAAAGAGTCTGGCTCTCAATGTGAAGCCTCTGTCTCACAACAGCGTCCGTGTTACATGGAGCGTGGCTCAGCCCAGCTCCTCCTTCAGGCTAAGCTGGCTCCGACTCGGTACTGGAAACGCTATGGGCTCAATCACAGAAACGCTTGTCCGGGGCGATCGCCGAGAGTACCTGCTCACGTCTCTGCAACCTCGCTCCAGCTACATCATCTGTATGGTGCCCCTGCCTGCTAGTTCAGAAAACAAAGGAATGATTTCTGGAGATTCAGATTCTGATGAAGCTCTGGTTTGTGCAAAAGCTGAAACGTCAGATGTCAGCCCGTTGGAGGAAGAAGAAGATGACAGCTCACAGCAGATGGCGGCACTGCCTCTGGCAGGGATTATTGGTGGGGCTTCTGCCATTGTGTCTTTGGCTCTCATCTTTGGTGTCTTTTGTTGGTATGGACATAGGACTGGGCATTTGTGTTCCCGTGACCACTACACTCGCAGCAGCTCAAGAAAAAACAAAAACTATGATGATTATATCGAGTCTGGCACCAAGAAGGACAATACTATCCTGGAGATCCGTGGCCCGGGCTTCCAGATGACGCCTATGGCAGCTTGCCAGCCAATGCAGCCGAAACCCCTTCGAGAGGATTACATCATTCATACCATATTCCCCTCCAATGGCACTGGCTTGTACAAAGGTGCCAACCATGTTTCTAATGCAGGACACGGCACTAATCGTGGCTATAGAGAAGGAGGAATCCCAGATATAGACTACTGTTACACATGATGTACTGTACCAGATCCTGTTCACAGTGTTATTGGTAAACTGTATAGATGCACAAGTTCCCTTCGCATGGACACTTCTGAAGCACCCCTCTGTGCCTTCTTCTTCTGGTTTCCCATTCCAAATGACCTGCTGTTCACTGCACTGAAAGTACTGTATGTGATTAACTGGAACTAAAACTATGTGGGAACAGCTCTCTGCAGGAAGCAGCAGCCAATGCCCCAGGTGTAAATGCACAGCTGAGTGTTTCTTCACCATCTTAGTAATGGCCTGTGTATGTTTCCTTTTCTGCTCTTTCCTTGTGACATGTAAGCAAAGAATGTATCCACGACGGAAAAGGTCAGACTTAGCATAAGACAGGTAGAGGTTCCTCTTTCCCATGCAGGAGCCACAGCATTCAGTTCAAAGTGGATAAAGAAATGATGAGAAACAGACATCTTTGGTACTCATTTCCTGCTCATACACAGTATGTAGTCTTATCAACTCATTGTTCCAAATGCCTCAACTATATTGATGTGCCCTACCAGCTATCCAAGGAAAGGGCTTTGTAAAGCTGTGAATTGTTCTATTTCAAACAACCCAGTAACCACTTGTCTTAAAGTAGGCTTGTTATTACCTTATTCAGTAGTCGGCTGGTTGAAGATCTTATAAGGGCTGGTCAGCCTTGGGTATACCTCTTGAGATTGTCCACATGAGATCAGTATTGTAGAGTTGCATCGGACGAAATGCAGCACAAGCGTGTAGATAATTTACTTAGATACCGACTTGGCTGTGTTTGAAAAATGCTTTGCTATTTTTTATCAGTGGTTTGTTTAGTAATGAAATCCTGCACAGCTCTCTTTATTTATTTATTTTGTTCCCTATGTGATGGTTTTTTTGTCTCTGCTAAAACAGCTTCTTTTTTTTTTTTTTTAATTTTCACCCTCATGTTTGTCATTATTGTTGAAACCCAGCTTTTGATGAAGACAGTGGCTTTGTTCCATCTTAGCAACAAGTGAAGGAAGTAATATGACGGCTGTCTCCAGGTTCATGTAAAAGCAGCAAAGTGAATTCTTGATTGAGACTCTTTATATTATTATGTAATTTTTAAAATTAGACCCCCCTCCTCCGAAACACTAGCATGTGAGCCCACTGAGACAGTAGAGACCAACCTCAAATCCCTCTCTTTTCTCCAATGTCGTGCCTGTGTGCTTAACTTGTGACTTCAGTTGGTGACTTTTGGTTGTAACATGTTTTCCTCCACATTCTTGAAGAGACGACGGCGTCTGCAGAGAAACCAGACTGGACTAATGTGGAGCCTCTTGCGAGAGGCAGACTCTTGTGGGTGAACCTCGAAACGAGGGCGAGAACTGTGAGTGCAACCGAGGAGACTCAAACCGCAACACTGTTGACCTACACTGTGGGGCGGCGGCCAAGCTGCGTGGGAGGGCGGATAGACGGACAGGTGGGGGGGCGGGCAGGAGGAACTGGGTAGCGAACTCACTTATGGGAGTTCACGGATGTTTGTTTTAGCAAACGGGAAAAGGCCTCCACTCATTCCACCTTTTTTATTACTGAGCAGCACTAAAAATGTAAATGTGTTAGCACTTAGCAGGGAACAGGGATAAATGTAACGACAGGCGCGGGGAGACGAAGGGTAAAGAAACATCTCCATGCACTGACAAAGATGCAGAATTGATGGCTCCGGCTGCAGTGGGGGTTCACCCATGCATAAATCTGTTTGTCATACTTAGCTTCTACCCTTGGGTTTAATACTGTCCATCAGTTGTTTACCACTGTGTTGCTTCCAAAGGGGAAACCAATTGTGCTTCCTTGACTGTTCTGTCCGGCAGAGTTTTACACACTAGTGTCAGACAATATGTCAGTGGAATGTATATTTTATCTTGCACCCAAAATCACTGGCTTAAACAAATGACATCGTGCTGGCCTGGCTAATTCTGTTTTTGGGGAATGTTGATATAGTGTAATTGCTATTTTATAGTTGAGTCTATTCAAGATGCGTACTTCCTCATCATTTGTATAAATAAAACCATGGCCACAGCCACATGAATATTTTTTCTGGTGAAATAATAGAAAGTAATGGTGCCATAACTTTTGCGTTTAAAAAAAAAAAATTATGTGAACCTGAGATATGTGTGGAATTTGCTTTATAAATTCATCTTCAGAGGGGATCAATAAAAAGTTTTATAATCTTGTTATTACTGCAACCTGTCATTTCATCTCATGCATGGGGGCGAGTGTTTATTTACAACTCAAGAGACGTTGGTAGGGGGGATGCAACTCTGTTCTAACTAGCAGGCTTTCATGCACATATTAGGCCTATATATTGTTTTAATTCGATAAAAGCACTGAGCAGTGAAAGGGAAAATACAACTACAGCCTGAGGCCAACTTGGAACCAGACGGAGCTGAGAGGAGTCAAGAGGATGTAGTGAGTTTGTGTTTACACGCAGTCTGGAACTGAATGTACTTAACTCCAAATGAGAGACCATCTTGGACGGGATCACAACATCATGTTAGTGTCCTGAACCACGAGTGCTCAGTCGGGGTTACTACATTAACATTACTACATTATTACATGAGCACTCGGTTTTCATGACTCGCTTATCTTCAAATTTAATTTTGATCTCAAAGCACATTTAGCACATTTAGCAATGCTGTGATGTTGACATGCTCTGTCCACAGACATGCACCCCTCAGGCGCAGCATTAAAACCACTGACAGCCAAACTGAATAACAGTGATTATCTCATTACCACGTGGTGTTCTTCTGGCTGCTGTGGAAATTCTGCAAAATTCACAAAGTGTGCGTCTATTGGAATTCACTACTACAATAAACAATATGTATGCAGACCGGACACTCATGCCCTCCAAAGACAAAGTTATAAAGTCATACTCGTACGGAAAAGTTTGTCTCTCGTACCCCTCCCAGCAGAGGGAAAAAGTTACGGGTCAGTTTCTCAGGGTTTTCTATACTGTTTCGCTAATGAGGCACTGCGAGGCCTCCGCAGAATTATTTGTGTGGGCCTTGAAGAGACGAGGTAAGACCTCCTGTGCACTCCGATGCCTCAGGTTCAAGCTGGCCTCCTTAACACGACCAAGAGTCAATATATGAAATATGCAAAAGAATAACATACCTGGTGTCAGCAGGAAAATTCAGTA